TCCCTCTCTGGGGTAGCTAGTGTAAGTAATTCCTGTATACCTACGGGCCCACCAGTATTGTTGCGTCGGAACGACACGAGGTGCATTGCCGAGCAAGTGTAGACAGCCTGTACTGTCAGAACACACAGCCTAGCCGTCTGTTCTGACTAGTTCATATTTCACGGTATTTAAGTGCTGCCGTCTGTAGGCTCACCCAGGTCAGTGGGAGGCTGAGCCCATTCGCTCTCACTCCTAGGCCGACCGACTTGATAGGCACAAGTGCTCCCCCTCCACGGACTGGCTTGCGGTCATTCCCTCACACTGCCCATTGTGTACTCACTCCTATCCAATTAAAGCCAACCTAGTACACGGCCGTATCATTGCTACCTACGCTACCTTCATCGGCACTAAACCGCTGTTCAGCAGAAAGAAGAGTAATAACACTAAGTGGAGTGATTAAGGTTCCAGGACCAAGTTGAGTGACCAAGGTTCCAGGACTAAGTGGAGTGACCAAGATTCCAGGACTAAGTGGAGTGACCAAGGTTCCAGGACTAAGTGGAGTGACTAAGGTTCCAGGACTAAGTGGAGTGACCAAGGTTCCAGGACTAAGTGGAGCAACCAAGGTTCCAGGACTAAGTGGAGTGACCAAGGTTCCAGGACTAAGTGGAGTGACCAAGGTTCTAGGACCAAGTGGAGTGACCAAGATTCCAGGACTAAGTGGAGTGACCAAGGTTCCAGGACTAAGTGGAGTGACTAAGGTTCCAGGACCAAGTGGAGCAACCAAGGTTCCAGGACTAAGTGGAGTGACCAAGGTTCCAGGACTAAGGGGAGTGACCAAGGTTCCAGGACTAAGTGGAGTGACCAAGGTTCCAGGACTAAGTGGAGTGATCAAGGTTCCAGGACCAAGTGGAGTGACCAAGGTTCCAGGCCTAAGTGGAGTGACTAAGGTTCCAGGACTAAGTGGAGTGACCAAGGTTTCAGGACTAAGTGGAGTGACTATGGTTCCAGGAACAAGTGGAGTGACCAAGGTTCCAGGAACAACATGTATCCAGTAAAGACGTCCTAAGTGAATGTATTTCTGTTTTCATAAATACTGTCGGTATCAATACCCCAGTTTACATTTGTAAAGGAATTATTAGATTAAGCAAATATTTTATCTTACCGCAAGATTTATTCCAGTAAATTAACTTGATACAGTAGATATGAAGATCAAATCATGGAACGGGTGGGGTTTGAACCCATGGCAAGTGAGTCATGGAACGGGTGAGGCTTGTACCCATGGCAAGTTAGTCATGGAACGGGTGGGGCTTGAACCCATGGCAAGTGAGTCATGGAACGGGTGAGGCTTGAACCCATGGCAAGTAAGTCATGGAATGGATGGGGCTTGTGCCCATGGCAAGTGAGTCATGGAATGGGTGGGATTTGAACCCATGGCAAGTGAGTCATGGAATGGATGGGGCTTGTGCCCATGGCAAGTGAGTCATGGAACGGGTGGGGTTTGAACCCATGGCAAGTGAGTCACGGAACAGGTGGGGTTTGAGGCCATTGCAAGTGAATCATGGACTATGCGCAGCCAGCAGTGATAGCCTGGTTGATCAGGCCGTAATCCACCGGGAGGCCTGGTCGTGGACCGGGCCGCGGGGGCGTTGATCTCCGGAATACCCTCCAGGTAGATTCCAGGCAGGTAGGTAGGCTGCTTGTGATCCTAGATTTTTTCCAAGGACCTTTTCAGACGTTCCACAGGTATACTATACTGCCACCCTACCTGCCATCTCAAGTGACATCCAAGAGTCTCTTTATTTTGATGGATGCACCACAGACATGAAGAGACTCCTTCATGATAGAATGATGATAGATGGACTGACTGGTGTCAATCTCCCTCAGTCTGAAGCCAATGAAGTTTAACTGAATCTCTTCTCGTATTATTGTTCTCAAACTGCTAACTGACAAGCCAAGATTGTAATCTACTGTCTCTTTGAAAGCATATAACCAATTCATCAATTTTATCATGCCTCTGAAGACCAATATGAGATGGATCCACAGAAGGCGCACTCTGCTTCATTGTCTACAATCCTACCATACCTGTGTCTGACTTCTGACACAAGCATGCCACAATTTATACTTAATGTGTTGAGGGCATTTATAGATAGAGAATCAGTTTCAATAAGAGTGTCAACCTTCGACACATGGACGCATATGAGTGCAGGGACTATGGCAAATAGTTCTGTTTGAAAGGTAGAGGCCCAGTTGATTAATAAACAGAACCATCAACACAAATAATTTGTGAAAGAGTGTGCTGTGTGACTAAGTTATCCTGATTGGCTTCAATTCGAAGCTTTAGTGGTGATTTAAGAAGTATTTTGGAGAGGAAATGGAGGGATGGTAGTTAGGAATGGGGTAATATTCCATGGAGAAGGGAAGTGCCGCTGTTGTCTTAATTGACATAGATCATGTATCTGGTTCATGCGGTGGTCGGTTCCAGATTTTTTCGATCCATTTGGACGGGTGTTCACCAGTGCTGAGGAAAGCTGGAAGAACTTCTGTGCAACGGCTTGAATGGGCTTATCTGAGCATATTAACCCCAATGAGGATATTTCTTTCAGTAACACGATCTCTGATGCTTGGAATATGAAGTTCTTTCCGCATATTTAAAATTTTGGCAGTACGAAGGAATCTCAGGATGATCCTCATTCCTTCATTCTGCAATTTTTCCAACCCTGCAACCTTCCAATCAGACATGAGCAATTAGAGGTGCGGCATAATCAACCACTGATCTAAAACAGGCAAAATACATCCTTTTCACTAATTTAACACTAGCTCCATACCTTGAATGAAAACCTGTCACAAGTCTAATTGCTCTCAGCCTTTCTTTGCATTGGCGACAAAGTCTCGTTACATCAGGTCAAAGTAGTGGGCCCTCAAAGCCTAGATACCTGTATCTGGTTACATATTCTAGAAGAGACCCATCATGCAACTGAACCAGGCGAACTGTACCTCTGTCGAGGAGGACGTCTGTTGTGTTTCTCTGTTTTATCAGTAGAGATTATCAACCCCAGGTCCTGACACGAGGCTAGTACATGGTTAAGAATATTATGGGAATTGGGAAATCCGGTGGTGTGAATCATTTGATACACAGATCGCTGATACACGGATTCGCTCTGTAGACTTTGTCCTGTACAGTCACAGACGCTCCTGCTCTTGTCAAACAGTCTCCCTACGATCCCCGTTGGGGCGGAGAAACTCTACCTGTCTCCACGATGTCGCATCCCGTGAGAATCAAACCCAAGACTTCTGTCATCAATGACACCACGAAGCTAGAACTTGCGTCTACCCTCAACAGCAATCTGCGAGTGAGGTTCTCGAACATTACTTCTTTGAAGGAAGCTTTCCTCGTCACCTTTATTGATGATGAGGAAGCTGACAAGGTACTCACATCTCCAGCTATGCAGACCCTTGATGACCATGGCTTTATATTAGTACATCTGTACGACTTGCACCAAAGTGTTTGGCCCACTTACCTTTATTACCCTCCTCTCCTCCACCCTCCCATTCTTCTCCAGTATTTCCATCCTTCCCCTTCCTTCTTCCTTCTCCCCCCCCCATCTCACCGCAGCTCTGGTCAATTCGATTCTATTCGAATCATGATATCATCAGCAAAACTAACCATATGACGATGGGGCTGTCTAGGCATAGCATTAAGTAAAGTCTTAATTAGAATATTGAATAAGATGGGACTGAGCACACCTCCCTGTCGGGCTCCTAATTCAAGGTCTTGAGTTGCACTTTTATGCCACTGAAACAATACAGAAGACTTTCTGTTGGAGAGGTAGGCTTTAATCCAGCGGAGAAGCCATCCTCCAACATCCATTCTGGCACGTTCACTAAAGATTACATGTCGGTTGACTACATCAAGAGCAGATTGAAGGTCAAGGAAAGTAGTGCATGAGCTGTCAGTGTGCAGGGTGAGAGGTGGTAATACACGCTCCTTCCATGCATCAAACCATACAAATGGGTATATAGGGGTGTGGGGTGCAGGTAGTTTATTAATGGTGAGTAACATTGGGTGGGGTATGATGGCACTTTATTTATCCTATTTTCTTTAACTATCTTTAACAGTTTTATGCTGACTTTTTATTATAAATCTCACATTCACTCATCAATGTATATATGTCGTGCCGAATAGGTAAAACTTGCTATTTTGGCTTAAATAGCAATGTTCTTCTTGCCGAATAAGGCAAGCGAAAATTCGTTTATGCAATTATTTCGCAAAAATCATTCTGAATCTAACGAAAAAATGTATTTCATTGTGTTTGTTTATTATTAAATTATTGCAAACTTATCTAAAATATATTTAGCTGGATTAGGCTAAATTAAATTGCGCTTGTTATAATAAGGTTAGGTAAGTTTTCTGAAGTTCTTTTGGTAAAATTTTTTTAACGTTTATATTAAAATAACTGAATAAAAATATCTTTGAACGTACAGGTTTAAAAATTTAACAGAGATATTCAATAAATAAATTTTCTCTGAACTAATTTGGCAGAAGACAACCTTGCTTTACAAACCAAACTACCCAATTCGGCTTAAGAATAATAAAAATATTTTTATTTTTGCAAGTACATATATACAGGCCTAGCTGACATCAATGACATACTAATATATACAGAAATCCGCTTGTTATGCTGAGTATTTCGGATAAATTAGGCCAGTGTTGTACCAGGGTGCTACCCACACCAGTCGACTAACACCCAGGTACCCATTTTATACTGATGGGTGAACATAGACAGCGGGTATCTTATGGAAACACATCCCAATGTTTTCCAGCTGTAACGGAGATTCGAACTCAGGACCTCAGTGTGCGAGGTCCGGAGTTCGAATCTGCGCTAGAGATCAAGTTACGGGACACCGCACTTTAACGTACGGGAGTCGTAATACACAGTAAAATACAACTAAGCATATCCATGTACAATATTATAAAACTGCATAAATTTTACAAAACAAATACATCATACAATCTGACAAACCTGAGTGACAGTAGTTGCAGAGAACAATGATGTATCATAAACCCACTGTGAGCAAGATGTAGTTGAGTTAGAAAATACATCTGGTTGACATTGGTCAGTAATGTTGTCCTTGAGTGTCCAGACATGACACTGGTCACCCTCTGGGATGGCCCACTCTGTGAAGATCTCCTCGTAATGGCTACTGTTGTCATCACAGTTTGGCACCACACATCTGGGAAAACAACGTTATTTATTAACCCGTAAACGGTCCAAGCAGATCTAAGTTCACATGTGTAGTGCTACTAAAGTAGATCTACTTTTTTTTTTTACATATTTTTAAATATAACATTTTCAAATGTAAAAAAGCAAAAAGAAGATCTGCTTTTTTTTACATACTTTCAAATGTTGAAAAAACGTATATATACGTTTGGACCATTTACGGTTTTTTAATAAATATGGCATTGAAATAAACACCAGCATGCTTTACATAAGTGTAATATTCTCTATCTCTTCAAATAAGATTTACAAAATTATAGAAAGTTAGAGTTCTAAAAACTACAATGTACAAATATCCGGCTCATAGAAGAGAGAAGCTTATTGCGACGTTTCAGTCAGACTTGGACCATTTACAAATCACACTGACATACGATAGTTGTTGTTTGATTGATTCGTCAGAAGCTGCGTCCTGACACAGGTCTTAATCCTAAGATGACCCGTCTGAGGTTCTTAAAGATGTTCATTTAATTCAGCTGTTCTGTGGCCGCTATCAGAGTCTTGTTGTAGTCCCTGTGTGTGTCACAGCAAAACATTTTATGTACTACAGTGGGGGTGAAGTACCAAGAAGGCCACTCGCATGACTTAGGCATTTTCAAGGATTCTGTTTTGTTCATCATGCTTATATTTAAGAAGGTATTTACAACAGTTCTGAATGTTTCTTTGTTTTCTTCTGAGCCTATCAGATCGCATATATCAGTGAATCACGTGATTGTCGACATCATTTGATGGCTCTGGGGAAACATACGATGGCTTTCTCTGTTCCCTCTGGCTGCAGTGCTCTTTTTGGTGACTGCTGCGGTGTTACGGATGGTACGTTGTCTGTTGTCTGTTTATGCATCATGGACGCTTTTGGTTGTTGTTGTCGGGTGGAAGGTCAGGCAGAAGTATCAAATAATAGCTGAGCAAGGGCGCGACCCAGTCGCTGATGCTTCCTCGGTTTCCTTCATCGCTGTGTCTGTGGAAGCGGCCCTGCATTCCGTGTTACTGTAGTCTCCTCTGGACAAGGCTGCTGCTTAGTAGCTTTACTTTATAATGGAGGCTGGTTAACCAATGTTTTCCATACTGCCCAGACAAAGCGAAGCCTCTCCGGGCTGATATGATGATTCTTGCCACAGTTTGGACACCGAGGTTCTGCAGCTTCACCTCTCTTCAGTTTACCCAAGCAGTTATGGATCAGGTGAGACCTGCTTCAGATGTCATATATTTCTCTACACTGACATCGGGAGCTGAGATGGTTGTGGCTCTAGAAACTGAAACACCTTAAAGGTTCTGGTTTGCATGTCCTATCTTGGTATTTTCCAAAGCAGCCGTGATCCAGTTGAGCTGTGAGACGTACAATATGTTGTTAAGACATACCTCTTAGGTACGTTGCTGTTTTTCTTAGCTACTAATCGCTCAGTATTCAGGCCGTTTTTGTTACTGTGAATTGCATCAAGAGGTATGTCTAGTGGATAGCATATTACCACGTCTTTTGTTACCCGATATATGGATTTTTGTTCTGTTGGTACAAGTGATGATTCACCTTTTCACCATGTTTCCTCTCGAAGTGAATTATAGCAGTATATGGAGAGTTGGGGTTTTCTTTTACAATCAAAGTGAATATGTTGCTTGAATATGAATTTGTTGCTTGAAAGGAAATGAATGGGCATTTGTCCGTTGAAACTATCAAAGAGCACATTCATTTCTTTTCTTTTTTATTTAACCTCTTGACTGTCGCAACCCCAAATCCTGAGGTGTTTCCTGGTGTCGCAAAATTTCAAAAAAAAAAAAAAAAAAAAAAAAAAAATTCTTATGAAACGATAGAAAATCTTTTCCTCATTGTAGTGACACCAGGAGAACGAAATTTGATGGAAAACTGACAGAATTACGCTCTCGCGAAGTTAACGACCTCGGCGATTTTACGAATCGGCGATTTCGCCCACTTTGAGCCCTATTTTCGGCTAATTCCATTGTACCAGTCGACAAAACCCATTGCTATTTCTTTATAACCCCATTTTTTTTCTATCGATTGAGTACAAGAAATTGCCCATTCACCGATTTCAACTACCCAATAACGTGGTCAGAAATTTGCAATTTCGCCAGTTTCACGAAAATTAAATAATATGACAATTTCAAAATAGGGTCGAGAATGAACAATGCAGACACATTCCCGGCTCTAAAATAAAAAAAATACACAAAAAATTATAATATATATATATATATATATATATATATATATATATATATATTATATATATATATATATATATATATTATATATATTATATATATATATATGCAAATAATCGCAGACAGGCGATCTTAACTATGCAGGACAAGCCAGAGAAGGGTGGAAATCTTTAGCTCAAGTACTTTCACACTTCTCAGTGCATCATCAGGAGCTGTACAAAGTTACAAGGGAGCAACCAAAGCAGGGAGAGAGGTCTTAGAGTAGCGTAGGTGTCACTGGCCACGGTTACCCTTAGACTGGGTTAGTGGTCGGTGCCAACCCCAACCTACCATCATCCCCCCACTGCACTGTTTGGTTGCTCCCTTGCAATGTTGCACAGCTTCTGATGACGCACTGAGAAGTGTGAAAATACTTGAGCTAAAGATTTCCACCCCCTGTGTCTTGTCCTGTATATATATATATATATATATATATATATATATATATATATATATATATATATATATATATATATATATATATATAAACACTGATCTCTGGCCGAAGGAGACTCGAACCTACGAACCTTGGAACAAGGTATGCAGTGCTTTACCAATCTCACCACACTGGACCAATACCTTGGCACCCAGCTTGCGCTAGACGTTGATCCAAGGCAGCCAGCTTTCAGGGAGAAGGCTTACAGCTTTTCATCTCATCCCCTGCAAGCTGTAAGCCTTCTCCCTGAAAGCTAGCTGCCTTGGATCAACGTCTAGCGCAAGCTGGATGCCAAGGTATTGGTCCAGTGTGGTGAGAATGGTAAAGCACTGGGACCCTCATCCTCAGAGAAAACAATAAACGTACCTTAGGGAAAACTCAAGGTTCTCCCCGGAGCTATTTGAATATTTTCTTATCCTACCACCCCCTATATGTTTTAAGCTATATGTGAACTTTATTAATAGACAGAATACATTGATAGAAAACATATACATGAATATATTGGTACAGTGTATCAAAGTATGCAGTATGCAGCATGCATTTCCCCTCTGGATAGCCACACTGAGGCTCTTGAACATGAAAGTGGCTGCCCTTGGGTCCCTGGTGGTGTCGAGTCTGGAACCCAGTTCTTTAAGGAAACATATGGCATTTTTCTGATATTGTTGTCTTATGTCCCTGTACTTGCCAATCTTGTACTCCTCCCTGTGTTCAGCAGTTCCTCCCTGTCGCCCGACAGGGAGGATAGATGGTGATCCTATTGGGGCGGTTTGCTGGGTTGTGGGTATTGTTGGCTGCTGGTGACTGGGGCTCTTGGCTGGGCATCCAGCTGTAGCAAGGGTTCTCTTTATGATGTCGTTGACCTCATTGTGTCTTGCATGCCAGCCCTTGGCTTTGGAGGCCGACGGGCAATTTTCCGTGCACTCAAAAAAAAATAGAAAAATTATGGAAATTGAGTTATTTATACCGAAAAATAGCTTAACTCTTTGGCAACACAATGGTACAAGAATCAATGTTCTACAACGTTTCTACAAGAAATTATAGTCATTTATATCAGGTATGGTGACGGCGATGTGGGTAGCGAGTCTGCTCACAGCCTGTGGAAATTTATTTGGTCCCTAAAGTTCCACAGGACGTCCAGCATGGCCGTACGGGACAGCTGAGCTGGATGGCCCTTATACCCCACCCAAACAGGGAAGCATTCTCTTGTCAGCGATGGATTCTTGGTAGGCATGTATTTAATTTATAGATTTACTCTTCAGGGAAGCAGTAGGTAGTTTTACTGGTAGTACACTAATATTAGGTTTACTAAGGCAAATGTAGATAATGATAATGTAGACCTAAGACCTTAACATAGGTAGTAATAGGCCAATAATGTAGGCAAACACTAGGATAAGTTAGCTAGGGAGAACTGGCAGCCCTAGTTTGAACGAAGAGACGAGGGTCTGGAAGGGAGACCAGCTCGCTCTTCTTACGACAGACACCAACTGGACAAGATGTGCCGTGATCAGCAGACGGCGCCCCCACGTGTCTTCACATCTGAGACCTGGGGAAATCTGGTAGAGGCACATCGATGTACCATAGATGACGTCCTCCATAAGGCCATACAGTAAGACAAGATCTTCACTTTTTCTCGTAGATTCTGGCCAGTGTCTTGGGAGATCGTGGGTGAGTTTTAACTGTGGGCCCGGTGTGCAACAGAGAGAGCATGCCCAGTAAGTACCAGTGTCTCAGAGCCGTCTGAAGCTAGTGTCTGAGTCTGCATAGTTATACTAGAGGATACATACCCTCTTGGATATAGGAATTTCTGAGGTGCAGGCAGGACACTAATTACGATTGAATATTGCAGGAATTAATGCTCCCGGTTGCACGTGGTTTCTGAGGGGGAGTCCAAAGGGGCTAAGGCTAGCGTAGGGAAGTGAAGATAAGGATATATGCTGCAACACCAAGTAAGTTAGTCCTTTATACGTGCATGCAGGCGAGGTTTCTTGCAATACCAATCATTTGTGAAAATCTGTCCTATAAGCCACTTGTGAGGCTGAGGTACCCACCTCAGAGCTCGGTGTCAACAGAGTTTGCCAGGGTAGGCGACTCACTTGGAGGCAGTCCACACAAATTTTCACAAAAGTGGTCCTTCGAAAACCGTGATGTGGAATAGCTAGGTTAAGCTATCATAGCTAGGCCACAGTTAGGAACCAGTTTAACAGAGTTAGGTTAAGCTATCATACCTAGGCTACAGTTAGGAACAAGTTTTACAGAGTTAGGTTAAGCTATCATACCTAGGCCACAGTTAGGAACCAGTTTAAAAAAGTTAGGTTAAGTTAGCACACCTAGGTCAAAGTTACACAGAGGCTAGACCAAGCTG